TTAGCTTAATTAGAACTTCAGTTTAAATTGGGTATGTTCTTCACTTTATCTGCTGAGGTTAATAGCTTGATGGTTCAGATTTTCTATTATAAATATCTTAATTATTGACATAACTGAGAATGTAAAATAGCTTTGATGATCATTACTGATGATTTTGGTTTGCTATTATAATGTTTGAAGTGTATTTATATATTGAGAATAGTTGTACACTAGGTGTTTGACAGAATGTCTAATAGAAAAAAATAGTATCGACGTTATGAAAATGGAGCTCGGTCATAAATGTGCACTTGATTATTGCTAGATTCTTTTTTTTTTTTCCTTCCTTTTGGGTTTAGTGTGTCCTGATGTTCTATTGGTAGTAAGAATTTGAAGTTTTTGTGTTTAGCTTTCATAGATGATCATGCTAAGTTTTAGGCCGCCTTCTTCTTTTGGAGCTTCTCAAGTTATAGGCGGCTACACTGATCTTGCTATTTGCGCTTATATCATTAAATCCTGCAACTCCGCATCCCGCAGCTTTGGGCGTGTTCATCTCAGTGTGTGTGCGTGTGTGTTCATGAAACTGTAAGTTTAGAACTTTCAGAACTAAGATATGTCCAGTTATTCATTTGTTTAATCTTCAAATGCGACGATTTTCTTTTTGGTTTATATGCAGTTTCCCTAAACCTTGTGGGATGAACTTTGTTATTATGAAATTCATTTATTTTGATTAATTATGTTGAATTGTTGTCTTTTATTTTAATTTTTTTCCCTTGTATATGTCTATTTTTGATCTTCATGCTGTTGAAAGACGGATACATCATGGTCTTAAAGAAAGTCTTATTTTATCATTATTTATATATATAAATGATTTTTCTTTCTGTGCAGGGCTTTCTTTTATTTTTTGTTTATTTTTTCAGTTTGCACCTAATAAAGAACCTAGGTCACAAAAACAGTTAAGAACATCCTTCTTTCTGGAACATAGTTGAGAACAATGGCCAGTAGAAAAATGAGATATTATAGTAAACATCATATTTTAGTGTCGACTAAACTGGGTTCCTCAACTTCAATTAGAGACCAAATGCGATGGAAAACTATTCAAGATTTCTTAAAAGAGGATGAGAGGCTTATTTGAAAAGGCGCTTTAATATCCAATTAAAATAGAATTAGTACAACGCCCGTGTATTACTAAATACCTTTTTTATAAAAATATATAAAAAAGTAGTTGAAATTCTAATGAGAAAAAAGTAGTTAAAATTTTAAATACTTTTTTTATTAAAATATATATTATTATATATTTAGTATGACACTTTTAATTTTTGCGACTTACTTTTGTTATATTATAATAATTTTTTTAACTTACAACATATAACTACATTAAACATAAATATATCAATTGAGAAATAATTTAATTTTCTAATGAATTTTAATAAATATTATTATTTTTTATTATTATAAAGATAAATGTAATTTATTTATTTCATATATACAGTATGTATGTCAAATCGAAGATCATCAAAAGATAATTAATTTGATATATTATATATGTGAAACCGAAAAAAAATACAAAAGTTATTAACTTTTAAAATACATTTACAATTCAATAGCTAATTGAAGGAAGCAAATCAAAAGTCAGGGATATATTAGTCACTTAGTGCCTCACTATGTAAAATTACAAAGAATTAAAGGGTTATATTAGTACAAATGATATTAAAATACCTATGTTAACTAAATAATATTTATGGAATGTCCGAACCTAGATTATTAATGATTAATATATCAATATTATTTGTACAAACCTAATTACGAAGCATAATTCGCCAAGTAGGATTCCGAAGCACTAGAAGCAGCCACGTAGGCTCAGAGCATTCGAGAATTATATATATTGGGAATAGAAATCTACAAGAAGTCTAATATAGAAAACTGAAGACTCAAAGAATGACTGGTGCTACTTTGTAACTTAGCACGAAACTTTTCACCTAATTTTGTTGTACAATCTACTCTCCTCAGAAATTACAAGAATCTGATGTGAATAAGGATTGAATTATTTAATCTAAAAACCAGCTGTTTGATGCAATTCTTTGCCAGTCAAAACTCCACGAACATATTTACGCTTTGATGATAGATCATATTTAATGCTTTGATGATACATGTAGGGTTATGAAGTCAAAGGAGGTTTTATTGCATAAATGGGCGTTCAAAGCAAGCTACACTGGCAAATTGAAGTAAGCAACCTTGATCTGACTTTACAAAGCTGATAGTTTTCATATGGGAATGGGACATACAAGTTTTCACAAATAAATGCCAGCAGGTCAGGTGAAACTTTTCTGATGGGAGCAGGTTGATTAGTGTAAAATTCATGGAGTTATACTTTAATTTCTAATGCTTTTGTATCCTGGTTGTTGCAGTTTCCGGTTTTAATTAATTCGAAATTTTTTTTTATCAATGATTCTTTATAAGAGAAAATATACCTAAATAAAAACCTAAATAAAATTTATTTTAGTCTTATGATGTCAGGAAGGGTGATTGATTTTCCTCCAGATTTCCAGCTTCGATTGAAGTTATTTGAGTAGTATTTTATGAGGGGTAAATAAGGTTAGTTCTATTGTCTTAAGTCTAGGTGGGTATCTTGTTATCTTTAGGTTTCATATGCATAGTTTATAGCAGAAGCACAGACCACTGCATCTCGTCGTAAGTTAGGGCATATTTTACCAGAACTCTTTTAAATAGTTTAATTATGTTTTAGAAACAGCTCATGTGCAACCCTCTCTTTTCTTCTATTTAAATGTCTAGCATCTCTTTTGGAATTTATGATGATGCATTGTTATGAAACTCGAAAAATGATACAACCACCATTGCCCAGTTCTAGCATAGCATAAACATGTGCATGCTCTCATGTATGCAAATTGCACCACAAAATCTGTTTTATAGTTATGATCTGTACTCTTAAACTTGTAGTTGACATGCTGATACATTCAAGCCGGGAAACATCTTAATTGTATTATTTTTTGTCTGTGAGGGTTTCAGCTTGTAAAACATCTATCACCGAGCTTGCAAACACTACAGAGGAAGGCATTGATTTACTTAAGAGCTGTTTTGGGATATAATCAAATGCTGCTTGAAGTTGCTGAAAATTCATAGGTAAGTTGGATATTAAGCTTTTTGTCATTTGATGATAATTAGTAAAGCTATTCTACTTGTATTCAATTCATGGTTTCAAACTTGTGTTTGAGTGCTTTTTCCATAATCAAACTAGTTATATTATTATTTTTTATTTTTTTTGTTCATTTAGTTTTTGTTTACATTAGTATGACCTATGTATTCATTTTGATAATTTTTTTCTTTAACATGTAGAAGTAACAAATTTCATATGACTGCATATTTGCAGACTCTATTTTTATTTTTGTTAAAATTTCTCTTTGTTAAAGTTATATCTAGTAATGAAGTGTACATATTAAATAAATGCTTCTTTTCAGGACGATGGTGTATATGAAGGAGTATATTCACATTCATTGGCTTAGAACTCCAATATATTGATCAGACGAAGAGGAGTTAGCGCAGTGGCGCATACCTTCGCTCGGCGTGTACCATGTCCCGAGTTCGAGTCACCCGGGGGGAAATTGAGGAACCAGTATTGATCCCCCTTTTATTAGAAAAAAAAAAACTCCAATTTATTGATCATGATTGGAGCTTACAAGGGATGACGATGGTGATGATAAACAATACGAAGACATTTATCTAATTTTGACAAACTATGTTCGGAATGGTGATATTTTTGTTTTAGGTGTTGATGGTAAAGAGCATTTTATAAGCTTTTTCATGTATGTTGACATAATTGTAGATTTAATAATGATTTGTTTATTTATAAAAATTTATTATATTATAAAAGATTTAGATTAATGCTAAATAGTCAAATTACTACGAATTTGTGTGTTATTGATGGAGAAAGTGTTACATTAGAATAAAAAGTGTGATACATGTTATACTTGAAAATGCTACGCTAATAATTAAAAGTGTTAGGCGTCGTTTACTTTGCGGGACAGGACATGATAAGCAAAATAATCATGGGATATATTACGTTTACTTCATGGGAATGGGACGAGATTTTCCTGACGTGGCGCACATGTGGAGGCAGCAGAAATTGGTTCATCCCCCATTTGCCGATTAAATTCATCACGCCCCCCTCTCGAATATAATAATCCCACTCCTATGATACCTATTTTGCCCTCAGATTCCGCTGTGAAATGACCAACATATCCCTTCATTTGCATTATTTTACAACTGTTACCCATAGAAATAAAAAACGACCATCCCCATTATTTGCCCTAGTTTCTGCACAGAGAAACAATTGAAGCTTCGTTCTCTCCGTCGGGCTAGAAGGTGAGCTCCACTTCGCCATTTTTTTCTTCTCCATTTTAATTTATGCCGACTTCGCGTTATACACCCGTCACCGATTATAGCCCTAAAATAACACAAACTCAAAAACACAAAAGAATCAAGCATATGTGTATAGTAATTCAAACCTAACTCATAAACAATATGTACAGAAAAAACGAACAACACATAATAAACAGGAATTTATGGAGATGAAACCCAAATATAAGAGCAAAGTTAATCTACAAAATTCATAAAATTGTATTACCTAATTGAAGGGACCGATACGATTCGCGATCGTCGTCCCTGAAATGCTGTTCGAGCAGAGCTTGCAGTCGTGCATTCGTGGCTGAGAGAAAGAGGAAGAAGATGCGAAATTGTAGATTTCAGAGAGAGGGGTTTTCATTTTTCGACTGAGGAAGAAGGGCAAGGTCGGAGTGTTTTGATACGTATTACAGTCTTTTGGCTTTTTATCCTATCACATAATCCATGCAAGTAAATAAGGGATTTGTTAAAGTAGTATTATCTAAATTCTCTCAATGGAGAGCACGATTCTCTCATCGGAGAGCTAGATATTCTCTTCTAGAAGAGCTCGATTACTTGTAATATTCACAGTTAGCGGTTCTTCTTCGATTCTCGGTGGGGTGGAGATTCTATTTCTTTCCTTGGATTGGCTTGGTTATTAGGGTTTATGGCGGAGGATTTGGGGGAAAGGTTTCAGAACATTCATCTATCGGCAAAGGAGAGCGGCGGGGTCGAATTGGAGGATGGGGATGTGCGTATCAGTGCTGAGGAATGCCGAAGAAGTTTGCTGGGGAAGATTATTGGAGATAGGAAGGCTACCAAATTTGGAATCCGCCGTACGATGAGCTTTGTATGGCAAACAGCACAACCTTTTGAGGTGAAGGAATTGGGGCCTAATTTTTTTCAATTCATCTTTGGGTGTAAGGAAGATAAAGATAAGGTGATGGCTGGAGTTAACTGGGTTTTTGAAAATCAATACCTAATTCTTCAAGATTGGAGGGAAGATATTTCTGAGAATGATGGCGGCTTCAGTGAAGTGTCTCTATGGATGCAAGTGCATAAATTACCATTACATTGGCTGAGCACTGATGTAGGATTGAAGATAGGGAGGCTATTTCAGAGAGTCAGAAATGTGATAGTGGTGAAGGAGGGAGGGACAAAAGGGAGCTTCCTGCGTTTGTTGGTGTCGCATGATGTAAAGGAGCCCTTACCTCGGTGTACTGTCATTAAACTGGGATCTCGCCAATACAATGTGAGTTTCCAGTACGAAAAATTGGTGAGCTTATGTTACTATTGTGGTTTGGTGGGCCATCTAGAGAGGGACTGTAAAACCAGGCTAGCTCATATTGAGGAGGGTCAGGTGCAAGAGGGGCAGTTTGGAGATTGGATGAAGGCTGCGGATCTTGGCAGGGGCTTTGGTTCTCCATCAAACTCATATCCGTCTCCTAGATCAAACAGCCAGAGCAACTTCTCTAATCCAGGGGATCCTTCAAATTCTGATATCCACCAGGGAAAGAAGAGGGATGGAGAGCAGGCTGCTCTTACAGTGGCTCTAATTCCAGTAACCAGCTCGGTTGCAGGGGAGAAAGATGATGATATACATAGTACTTGCTTGCCAGTAACGCCCAATAAGGGCGATCCTGCGGTGGGAGAAACGGGGAGTGCTCAGAACACAGGAAAAGAGTTATCTATGGAGCTGTGGAGTGACTCTACAGTTGTAGATGCTTCTCAAAAGCAGATGAAAAGCTCGAAGACCCACAAAGGGAAACAACATGCTGCTGTATGGAAGAGGAAGAACCAGAATGTGGGGAGACTGAAAAGAACAGAAACTGCTATGGAAATTTCCTTGCCACCAGGCAGTAGTAAAAGACAGAGGCAATCTGGAGATCATGATGAAGATTTAGAGCAGGATACTTCTGTTAAGAGACACTGTTATCTCACAAACTCTGAGGATGCTAATCAGGTGGGGGTAGCCAGCCTTGAATGGCCCCAAATGGATAAATGAAGACAATCTTGTGGAACTGTTGAGGTCTGGGAGGGCCCTGTACAGTTTCCCAGTTAAAGGATGCCATGAAGGTCCACCTCCCAACATTTGTTTTTATTTCTGAAACTAGAAAATCTAAGTTCTTTGTTGATACTGTTTGTAAAAAACTGGGTTTTGCTGATAGGAGAGTTATTGTTGATCCTGTGGGTATGAGTGGGGGTCTTATGGTGGGTTGGAGTAGGGAGATTGAAGTTCTTCAGGTGCTTCATAGTTATTTCTGCATTCAAATTCAGTTCAAGATTGATCAAGCTGCACCTTCAGAATGGATGATCTTTATTTATGGGAGCACTGATAGACAAACCAGAGATTTGCAGTGGAAGGAGGTGGAGCAAAACAAAGATATGTGGGGGGAGAAATGGTGTATTGGGGGTGATTGGAATGATATATGCAGTAGTAATGATAAGAGGGGAGGAAGGCAGAGATCTCCTGGTAGCTGTGAAGGGTTCAACAAATTTATAACTAATATGGGGATGATGGAGGTCACTATGGAGGGGTACCCCTTTACCTGGGGTAACAACAGGCAGGAGGAGGGCTTTGTGGAGGAGAAATTGGACAGGGTATTTGGGTCCTTCTCGTGGCTGGCAGCTAACTCAGGGGCTAAGGTGTCTACTGTTTTCAAAAGTTCATCTGATCATTTTTTGTTACTGCTGGATTCTGGGAACCAAAAGGGGAAGTTTTTTAAGAGGTTTGTTTTTTATAAAAGATGGTTGAAGATGGAGGGGTGTGCTGAAGAAGTGGGCAAGGCTTGGAGTGAGAATGTTCCTGGGTGTCCTATGATTCAAGTGAAGGAAAAGATAAAGAAAACCAGAATGGCTCTAATAAAGTGGAGTAAACTGGCTAAATCTGGGAATGCTTTGAAAATTGAGGAACTCACATTGAAACTTGAACAGATGAGAGCTTTGGGAGGCCAGGTTAACTGGGATGAATGGGAGCATGTCAGGAAGGAACTGGAAGATTCTCATTTGAAGGAAGAAGAATTTTGGAGTCAAAAAGCTAGATTGCAGTGGCTTAAAGAAGGGGATCGAAACACGAAATTTTTCCATGCTATGACTCTGTACAGGAGAAAGAGAAATGCTATCTCAAGGTTAGTAGATAATCAGGGTTTGGTGGCTGACACCCCAGAGCTTATTGAACTGGCCATCATCAAGTTTTATAAAAGCCTTTTTGAAACTGAGGGATCTTGGGGAGAGGCTGCAGTTCTACCACTAATACCTCAATCTATTACTGCTTCAATGAATGACAAGTTAATTGCACCTGTTGAAGAGGAGGAAGCGCAAACAGCTCTTTTTTCTATGAACCCAAATAAAGCTCCTGGTAATGATGGCATGACCCCTCTTTTTTATCAACATTTTTGGCCTGTTTTGAAGGAGGATTTATGTGTTGCAGTGGTAAAGTTTTTTGATTCTGGTAGAATGTTGACTAGTTGGAATCACACAGTTGTTACTCTCATTCCAAAATGTGATAATCCTGTCTCATTAAATCATTTCAGACCCATTAGCCTTTGTTGTGTGACTTATAAAATTGAGGCAAAGATTCTAGCTACCAGACTGAAAGAATGCCTTAAATTCTGTATTCATGAGACACAAGCTGCTTTTATCCCTGATCGACAATTGCTTGATAATGTGGTAGTAGCTCATGAGGTAATTCACTACCTGAATAGACACAGAACTGGTGCTCAAAGTTTTATGGCTGTTAAATTAGACATGATGAAAGCTTATGATAGACTGGAGTGGAATTGTGTGGTTAAAACTATGTTGCAAATGGGATTCCATAGCTCCTTTGTTCAGTGGATATTTGTTTGCATTGCTTCTGCGGTGTTCTCTTTTAATGTGAATGGCAAGGTAACAGGTTTTGTAACTCCTTCTAGGGGTATCAGACAAGGGGATCCAATCTCCCCTTACCTGTTTATCATAATCTCTGAAGTGTTTTCAAGGTTGATCAGAAATGCTGTGGAGGGGGGTGAGATGCAAGGGTTGAAAATTGCTAGGGGTGGAACTACCTTGTCTCATTTGTTGTTTGCTGATGATGCTCTTCTGTTCTGTGGGGCTAACAGTCAAAATGCTAATATGTTGTTGAGAGTGCTTGCAGCTTATCAAAATTTTACAGGCCAGAGAGTAAATCTTTCAAAGTCATCTGTGTTTTTTAGTAGGAATGCCAGTGATGGGATCAAATCTGAGGTGTGTCAGGTTTTGAATGGGATTGATATATGCACATCCACTAGATATCTGGGATTGCCTATGGGATTGGGAAGATCTAAGAAGGAGGTGTTCCAATTTGTTCTGGATGCTGTTAAACAGAAAATGAGAAGCTGGAGCAATAGATTTTTATCAACTGCAGGGAGAGAGGTACTTTTAAAAGCTGTGATAAATGCCCTTCCAATTTTTGTTATGTCTTGCTTCTGTTTACCTGTTAGTATATGCAAAGAAATTGCTCAATTGAGTGTTGCTTTTTGGTGGTCTGGGGGAAATGAACTGAGGAGGGGTGTTCATTGGGTGGCTTGGAACAAGCTTACAGTTCCAAAGACTTCTGGGGGCTTGGGGTTTAAAGATGTCAGAATTTTCAATGATGCCCTTATTCTAAAACAGTTATGGAGACTTCTGACCAAACCTAGCTCTTTGATGACTAGAGTTCTTAAAGAAAAATATTTTCCTTCTGGTTGTGTTTTGGAGGCTAAAAAGAGTAGCTCTGCCTCTTGGTTATGGAACTCTTGGGTAACTGTGCTAAATCTGCATAAAGAAGGATTCAGAAGAGAGGTAAGGGATGGCTTAAATACTAAAATCTTATCACATCCCTGGGTGGCTGGCCTTAAATCAGGTAAGCCTTCTTTGAGAGGTACAGTGACAGATTTTTCTCTAACTTGGGTGAAAGAATTGTTGTCTGAGGATGGTTGGAGCTGGAATGTTGATCTGGTGAGGGAGTTTTTTACCCCTGAATCTTGCAAAGCCATCCTGCAAATCAGGAACTTAAATCCTACTGAGAGGGATAGATGGGTTTGGGAAGCTGACTCTAAGGGCAAGTTTTCAGTGGCTTCTGCTTATTCTGTTGCTATTATGAAGAAGGTGCTCAATTTGTCCATTCCAAGTGCTAGCTCTACTGCTATTTATGACAGGAAAGCTAGACAAATATGTTGGCATTTGAAGGTTAAAGGTAAACTTAGGCATTTTATATGGAGGTGCTTCACTGACAGCCTTCCGGTTGCTGCTAACTTAAGAACTAGGGGTATGCAGATTGATCATATTTGCCCTTGCTGTGGTGAACGTGCAGAGACAGTGTTTCATGCTATGTTTTCATGTTCCAGAGCTGCCTTAGTTTGGAAACTGGCCCCAGTTTCTTGGGATCATGCTACAGCTCCTCTTTCTAGCTTCAAATCTTGGTGGTGGAACATTGCAGATATGAACAAAGCTGACACTTCTGAAGCCCGGATTCAACTCTCCACGTATATTTTGTGGTGGCTTTGGAAGTCCCGTAATTTATAGGTGTTTCAAAAGGTAAGGATGCCGGAGACAATCATTGTAATATCCCAACATTTATCAGTATAATAATATTTCAGTTCCGATTTTTATTTTCGGAGTTA